GGGCTACAGATCGTGCCTCTAAATATGCAGTATTTTTTCCGATCGCACTGCACCGGAATGCAGGGCATTCCAGTAATACATGTCCTGGTGCGGATGATAGCAATGTGGGTGGGGAGAGTGTCTGTGGTGCCTCTGACATGGCATGCCATGCCCCCTTACATCCAAGAACGCGGCTCGAACCATGGTGGAACGCACTGGATATGGTGTGACTGGGCCCTTAATCCTATTGTTGCATAATCAAGAACCAGTATATGTTATACATGCCAGTTATAAGTAGGATAGCTTACAAGTTCAGTGTCGCTAGTTGTTGGTGGGCAGGGATCAGAGAGTCACTTGCCCACTTTTCAAAAGATGGAAGATATTCTTCTACGTCTTGCATTATATCAGCTTGGTTTAAGTTCAGCTGGTACCTGAGAATGGTTATTTGGGGGAAAAAAAAGATGTACAAACACACATCAACATGACCAAAACAGCAGACAACATACGAGGAATTGGCTAGTTGGGTTAGTCCAATTTACAGGGCAGAATTCCACTTTACAGAATCACTGCAACAATCACTATATATAGTTTAATTCATTAAATCTTTGTTAATTTATTACAGGAATTTATACAGTGCCGACAATTTACGTAGCGCTTTACATAGTGCACACATTCACATCAGTCCCTACAAATAATGTTCAGGCACAGACTAGACAACTTGTATGAAATCTTCTGAAAGCTGTGTGGGATGCCTAGAACAGCCTCTCTCAACCAGGGTCCTTAGGGGATAGAGGAGTCTTGTGTGAAGTGGGGGACAGAGGTGTCTCGTGCAAAGGGATGACGATGACAGAAGAATCTCAAGTGAAGGGGAAACAGGAGTCTCATGTGAAGGGGATGACAGAGGAGTATCATGTGAACGGGTGGGGTGCAGAGGGGTCTCATGTCATGTGAAGGGGGCTTTGGTGTAAGAGGAGGGGGACTATGAGATGAAAGGCGACCGCCTCAGGTAAAGATGGATGTGAAGGCAGACTCTGATGAAAAAGGAAGGAAGCACTCTGATGTGAAGTTCTGCAATTTGTTTTGTTTTTGCATGGGATCCCCCTTTAAAATCCATACCAGTCCCCTATCAGGGAAGAAGGTCTGGTAAGGATTTTGGAGGAACCACACAGCATTTTTACATTTACTTTTTTTACATTTCAGACTGGCGTGTCTCGAGATTTGACATAGTTTTAAAATGTCCCATGAACTGAAAAAGGTTCAGAAACGCTGGTCTAGAACAACCAGGTTCTTTCTAACCCACAGTGAAAAAAGTATAAGTGGAGTTGCACAAGCAAACAACCAACAAATGATGCTGTCTGCTCTGCCCCGACAAAGGATGAAGTAGTTACTTACATTTCTTTCAGATATTTGGGTCCATGCACAGTTTGAAGAGCAAGCTTTTGCAGTACATCACTGCCAAACCCTCGCGTAGTTGCTTTCTGGAAGATGTCATGCAAGATGGTGCCGATCAGCATTTGCCGTGATCCTTTATCGGAGGCCTGCAAACGTTCAATAAAAGATGCTGACATGTACCGAAAAGCATTAAATACTTAAATACAAAAAAAGAAAAAAAGCACAAACCACAAAAAAAAAAACCCCAAAGACGAACCTTAAATTTTTCACCTAACACCGATCTCCTCAAACATCGTATGGCATTTGCTATGCTGGTACCGGATATGAGAAGATCAGGGTATAAAATAAGATAGCCAGAGTCCCTGTCTACAGTCCATGTATTCTGTGTGTTGTTGCCCTCAAGATGTATTATATCACCAGGCTTTACATGCAGATCAACCCTGTGAGAAAAAGAATAAGAACTTGGAACAAAAAGCTTATGTGATACTTGGAACAAAATATCTCATAGGAGATGTACCAGTCATCCTTGAGAATGCAGATCTCTGTATCCTCTCCTTCCTGGCTGGCTGTAATAGTGAGATGTTTCTCCTCTCTGCGTCCATATACCTCTTTTACATCCAGCACACAGTATCTGTTGTACAAGCCTCTGCACAGTTTAGTCCTGGGGATTATTTTCTTCAGAGACCTGGAACTGGAAGGAACACATTAAACTTAATAGGTGAACATTACACTATGTAGCCTTATGTAGACTCATCTAGTCTGCAAACTAGAAGCAAAAATGAGCAGTGAAACAGAATGCAATAAAAACCTAACAGGGATTTTAAAAATTCCTCACACAGACATCAGGGCTGAGGACATAACAGGTGACAAGGGACGTCTCTGCAGGTACACATACCAAAACCCATGAGGGTTACAGTGGCCACAGCATACCAGTATTTGTACAGAGGTAGGGCCAGAATAGTGCTGGCCATTGATGCCTTGAATTTCAATAGATTGCTGCACCGAGATAAGCAAAAATGGTTTTACTATAAGGTGCATGTGTATCCTTATTTGAATCTTAGTGTGCTTTGTGTATTTCTTCAATATCTGTGCAGTAATTCAGTGTGAAACGTTCCCTCTATGCAAGAGTTTCCTGTAATAGAGACCAGCCACTGCTGCTCTCACCTTGTGTAGGGCGACTGGTCTTGTCTCCACAACCTTCTGTAGTTTTCTGCAGGCAGCCTGTATTGGATCACTGCCACAGGTCTGCTCTCTGCACAGGCAATATGATGAAGTCACTGCTACTTTTGGTAATAACTGGGTTTGTAATAGCACCTGGAGCACACAAAATGGACTTAAATCTAAGGCTGCAACCAACTAATCGATACTGTTGTCAACTATTTTCAGTATCGATTAGTTGGTTGGATACCCTAGCTCTCTCCTCCACACTGGGAGGGCACAGCAAGCATTGGGCAGGTGCAATAGCCAGCCTGCTATTGCAATTTGAAATGGCCTAAAGCAGGCTGGCTATTGCACCAGTGCACTAGCTGCTGTATTTACATTTAGCTGCTATCGGCGGAATCTTGCCACTGACAGCTGTCATTTGCTGGCTGAAGCTATTCAAGCACCAAGTGCTTACCATACAATTAATGAATAATACATACAAATAATGAAGGTGGTAAAAAAAGTCATTTTCAGCCTAACCAACCCTGCTGCAGGAGGTGCATGCAGTGCCATTCATTTCAATGGCACTCCAAATGTGCCTCCCACCCAGTGTGATTGCCAGCACTGGAATGCATGGTACTGTATTGGCATACTTTCCAGTGCAATTGCAAAAAATTGTGCATGCAGTTTTATTCTAAAGTAAACTTTATGTTTTTAGCACTGCATTTGTATGTTTTATTTTAAATTAAGGATGGTATTTTAAAAAAAATTCCAGATTAATCGGAATAAATTGGCCAACTAATCGATTATGAAAATTATTATTAGTTGCAACCCTACTTAAATCCTTTGTGGCTTTTGAGAAATATATGTGAATGAGAGTTTTGGTGTCCACCATTTAGCTTACAAATGAACTGGACCATGATGAAAATGAATGGCTGAACGGTGACTGTGTCCTATCCGATGCAGTTACTGTTCGGGTATTCAGGCAGCTGCATGTTCTGCAGCTGTCTACATACAATAGCCGGCAATGTAAATTTCTCAGTCTACATGTTGAATGGGAGAAAATATAGTCCTGTTTTCAGCCTACGATGACTTCTCAGCATACATGAGTGCCCGGGGGAAAAGAGAAGAGAATACGACAGGAGATGTCCGATTCTGGCTTTACACATAATTCTGCAAATATCCAACATAACAATTGCTTCAACAGAAGGATCATTTCTCTCACAAACTGATCACTCAACATGGCGGATTTAATCAAACAATCAGTTTTTTTTAAAACAGTGATAGGATTTTCTGCTACCACCAATTCAATTCCTTCTGTCAAGATGAACAGTCATCTCTGAACACAAAATCATCATCTGCTGCAATGTCATAAAAACTAGGGATGCACCGAACTTTCATCCGAAAATGGTACTATGGGTAAAATGCTGATAGGACCAAAACAACCAAAAATTCAGCGCACCCCTAGCTTCTCTCCTCCCCACTGGACACTGGTCTGTGTCCCCTCCGATGCCCGCTGCTCTCCCCCACCTGTGTTGGCAGAGTGGATTGGAGGAGACACAGACCAGTGCCCAGTGGGGAGGAGAGAAACTGTCAGGAGGCCAACTGCCAGTTGTCATAGGAGGCCGAGCTCTTCTCATGTACAGCTGTGCCCGGCCTCCTGCAACAGCCAGGTCAGGATGGAGAGCCTAAATAAATATAACATAAATGAAGAAATTATTTTACATTTTTTTTTAATTTCTTTTTTTTACTTCCAGGCTTAAAATTTAATTTCAGTGCATCCCTTCATAAAACCTGTGTACACAGAAGCCTAGTAGCCTGACTCCACTGCTGACATGTCAGCAATCAAGACATAATAGCTCACCTATGTACAGGCCTGGGGACACTGAGGAAGTCTAGGAGTGCGACTTCACTGCTCAGTAATCAGGACATAGGAACTCACCTGTGTACAGAGCCGGGGACACATCGAGGAAGTCCAGTAGCCTGACTCTACTGCTCAGTAATCAGGACATAGGAACTCACCTGTGTACAGAGCCGGGGACACATCGAGGAAGTCCAGTAGCCTGACTCTACTGCTCAGTAATCAGGACATAGGAACTCACCTGTGTACAGAGCCGGGGACACATCGAGGAAGTCCAGTAGCCTGACTCTACTGCTCAGTAATCAGGACATAGGAACTCACCTGTGTACAGAGCCGGGGACACATCGAGGAAGTCCAGTAGCCTGACTCTACTGCTCAGTAATCAGGACATAGGAACTCACCTGTGTACAGAGCCGGGGACACATCGAGGAAGTCCAGTAGCCTGACTCTACTGCTCAGTAATCAGGACATAGGAACTCACCTGTGTACAGAGCCGGGGACACATCGAGGAAGTCCAGTAGCCTGACTCTACTGCTCAGTAATCAGGACATAGGAACTCACCTGTGTACAGAGCCGGGGACACATCGAGGAAGTCCAGTAGCCTGACTCTACTGCTCAGTAATCAGGACATAGGAACTCACCTGTGTACAGAGCCGGGGACACATCGAGGAAGTCCAGTAGCCTGACTCTACTGCTCAGTAATCAGGACATAGGAACTCACCTGTGTACAGAGCCGGGGACACATCGAGGAAGTCCAGTAGCCTGACTCTACTGCTCAGTAATCAGGACATAGGAACTCACCTGTGTACAGAGCCGGGGACACATCGAGGAAGTCCAGTAGCCTGACTCTACTGCTCAGTAATCAGGACATAGGAACTCACCTGTGTACAGAGCCGGGGACACATCGAGGAAGTCCAGTAGCCTGACTCTACTGCTCAGTAATCAGGACATAGGAACTCACCTGTGTACAGAGCCGGGGACACATCGAGGAAGTCCAGTAGCCTGACTCTACTGCTCAGTAATCAGGACATAGGAACTCACCTGTGTACAGAGCCGGGGACACATCGAGGAAGTCCAGTAGCCTGACTCTACTGCTCAGTAATCAGGACATAGGAACTCACCTGTGTACAGAGCCGGGGACACATCGAGGAAGTCCAGTAGCCTGACTCTACTGCTCAGTAATCAGGACATAGGAACTCACCTGTGTACAGAGCCGGGGACACATCGAGGAAGTCCAGTAGCCTGACTCTACTGCTCAGTAATCAGGACATAGGAACTCACCTGTGTACAGAGCCGGGGACACATCGAGGAAGTCCAGTAGCCTGACTCTACTGCTCAGTAATCAGGACATAGGAACTCACCTGTGTACAGAGCCGGGGACACATCGAGGAAGTCCAGTAGCCTGACTCTACTGCTCAGTAATCAGGACATAGGAACTCACCTGTGTACAGAGCCGGGGACACATCGAGGAAGTCCAGTAGCCTGACTCTACTGCTCAGTAATCAGGACATAGGAACTCACCTGTGTACAGAGCCGGGGACACATCGAGGAAGTCCAGTAGCCTGACTCTACTGCTCAGTAATCAGGACATAGGAACTCACCTGTGTACAGAGCCGGGGACACATCGAGGAAGTCCAGTAGCCTGACTCTACTGCTCAGTAATCAGGACATAGGAACTCACCTGTGTACAGAGCCGGGGACACATCGAGGAAGTCCAGTAGCCTGACTCTACTGCTCAGTAATCAGGACATAGGAACTCACCTGTGTACAGAGCCGGGGACACATCGAGGAAGTCCAGTAGCCTGACTCTACTGCTCAGTAATCAGGACATAGGAACTCACCTGTGTACAGAGCCGGGGACACATCGAGGAAGTCCAGTAGCCTGACTCTACTGCTCAGTAATCAGGACATAGGAACTCACCTGTGTACAGAGCCGGGGACACATCGAGGAAGTCCAGTAGCCTGACTCTACTGCTCAGTAATCAGGACATAGGAACTCACCTGTGTACAGAGCCGGGGACACATCGAGGAAGTCCAGTAGCCTGACTCCACTGCTCAGATCTCAGCAACCAGCACTTAGGAGCTCACCTGTGCACAGAGCTGGGACACTGAGGAAGTGCAGGAGTGTGACTCCCCTGCTCAGATCTCAGCAATCAGGACATTGGAGCTCACCTGTGTACAGAGCTGGGACACTGAGGAACTGCAGGAAGTGCAGGAGTGGGACTCCCCTGCTCAGATCTCAGCAATCAGGACATGTACAAACCCCATGCAGCCCCAGAGTGATGAATAGTATACATTCAGCATTAATAGACCTGGAAATAGAATGCTAATTACTTGCACAGGAACCATCTTTTACTGCCAACTTACACTTCTGTTTGTAATGTGATAACATGTCTTCCCACAAGACACCCTAAGGCGGCGAGGCTCCTACACACACGTATCAGAGCACACCACAATGCACAGTATATCACTACCCTGTGCTGTGGTGTGCTGCATCAGAGTGAAGATTTCATGTTGGTTTCCTGTTTGTTCTTGTGAGTTGGCAGCCTGTTCAATATAAATACCTTAGCGCAGGACACAGTGTACTCTACCAAACATGCATTAACACACAAGAACTTCACAAGTAAATGGGTTCCAAAAGCAGAATCAGCATTAGATTTAGTTGTAGGTGGAGCCATGTGGGCTCCACCTACAACTAAATCTAATGCTGATTCTGCTGCTGTGCATGTTAGAGATGGGAAGTTCAGATCTTAGAAACTAATCGGTTCATTTTGAATGGTTCATTCAAATTAACCAATTCATGAATCGAATCATCGGTTCACTTGCTGATTCGGCTGACAAGCAAGTGAACGGGAGCTCAGGAGCTGTCTGACCCTTCCTAAAAGATCCGAATCAGAAGACTGATTCAGAGAAGGGGGGCAGCTCCTGGGGAACGTTCCTGTGATCAGTGCCTTGGGTCAGAGATGTCACAAGTTTGGTTTTATGTCAGACCAGCTATTCTATCAGATCAGCCACTTCTGGTGACACTCTGATGAGCTGATGTCACATTGGTAGCGGTCAGATTTGTCCTTAGTGTTTAGAGGGCAATAACGATTGGATTTACTACCACGGGTACTAAAGTCGTATTGTTATTCCCACCCATGCGCTGTACAGACTATGGACAAATCTGACCGCATCAGAATGTGTAGCGCATGCGCAGGAACACACTTTTTGCTGTCACAGCTGATCGCGCGTCACCAGAAGTGATGACATTGGCTGATAGAATGGCTGGTCTGACATCAAACCAAACTTGTGACATCTCTGAGCCAAGGCACTGATCAATGTTCCCCAAGGAGCTGCCCCCATTCTCTGAATCAGTCTTCTGATTCGGATCTTTTATGAAGGTTCAGACACCTCCAGAGCTTCCATTCCCTTGTCAGCCAACTCCGCAAGTGAACCGAAGAACCAATTCATTTCAAGATCCAAACTTGCCATCTCTTATGTGTGTCCCTCCATCTGCTGGGATAGGTTCTGATGAGCACTGCTGTGTGTCCCATCGATCTGCTGGGATAGGTTCGTGTGTGTGTGTGTGTGTGTGTGTGTGTGTGTGTGTGTGTGTGTGTGTATAGGTTTTGATGAGCACTGATGTGTTTCCCCTCCATCTGCTGGGATAGTTTCTGATGAGCACAGCTGTGTGTGTGTCCCCTCCATCTACTGGAATAGGTTCTGATGAGCACTGCTGTGTGTGTCCCATCGATCTGCTGGGATAGGTTCTGATGAGCACAGCTGTGTGCAGACCCCGGATCTCAGCAATAGAACACTGTCAGCTGGTTCTGGTCAATTGGAATCCATCAAACCCTGAAATAACAGTTATGAGTGGAATTTGCTAAAACCAGCAGACTTATATAACAGCCATGATGGTGCCCCTGTTAGAGCCTGAAAGCATCCAGGGATCATCTCTTCTCTGTGTTCTGTTAGCACATCACCCCCATAGGGTTACCTGTCCTCATGCTTCACGTCCTGCTCAGTGAAGCTCCTCTCCATCATCATCTCCATCAAGTCTTCCTCGGTGGGGAGCTCGGCGTACTTCCCTTCCATGGCCGGTACAGCTCCCTCCTCGGCACTCACCACTGCTTGTCATTGGACTCCAACCCCAGCCGCACATTCATTCATCCCGCGCTGTCAGGACGGCGAGACGAGCGGGACAAATCGGAAGGAGAAACGTGCTCAGGAGGGCGGGGCCAGCTGCAATGAATTACACTTCACACAAGCTTGAGGGCGGGGCTAGCTACAATGAACGACACTTCACATATGATTGGGGCGGGGCCAGCTGCAATGACTGACACTTCAGCCAGGCTTGAGGGCGGGGCCAGCTGCAATGACTGACACTTCACGGCCTGCGGGTTGTCAGCTGGGCGGCTCTAGAAAGTTGTTTGGTTATCACGTGTTCCAAAAGTAGCCAAACGATGTGAACACGAACACTATACAAGCTACAAGAGGGAAGGTGTCATGATCTATTTCTTGCAGGGACAGGAAGTGATGGGAAATCTACACAGAGGGGTCACAGACAGAGATAGAACCTAATAGAAATATGAACTCCTTCCCACTGCATCCAAAACAGGCTTTAGGTCTTCTTGTTCACACCATATAAGTTAAAGTGCTTTGACTTACATAGATGGGCAGACTTAACCCAAGGGTACATAGGACATTTTCAACTGTTTTCTAGAAGCCCTGGTCACACCATTACAGTGTTGGAATGTGCTGAATAAAAATACATCATAGCATGTCTGCATTGTGTGCACCACAACACGCTGCGGTACATATAGTTGAACAAAGTGTCATTTTGTGTCGCCTTAATAAATTTCTAAAAAAGTATACACTGTGATGCATTCTAACAACGCATTGTACCACCTCTACACAGTGCACACCAGCACACGCACATTTTGCATGCATGCTGGTGTAAACAAGCCCTTAAAGTAAACCTGGCACGCCAAGCAAGGTCTGCTTAATTAGAATGCCCCCTCCCTCTTGTAAAACGCTGCATGGCAGTCCAAAAGTGAAAACCTTTGGGGGGGGGGGAGAGGTAAATATATTACCTCACTCCTGGCTTCCATACTGCAGGGGGTGACATCATCCTTCCATCGAGATCCCGGGAATGCTGAGTAGCCCAAATCTCACCCCAATAGTGTGATCCTGTAGTTCTGGTGATACAGGTACCATGCTGTAGCGCAGTAGTTCTGCCAGTACAGGTACCATGGTGTGATGCAGTCGTTCGGGCGATACAGGTACCATGGTGTGGTGCAGTCGTTCGGGCGATACAGGTACCATGGTGTGGTGCAGTCGTTCTGGCAGTACAGGTACCATGGTGTGATGCAGTCGTTCTGGCAGTACAGGTACCATGGTGTGGTGCAGTCGTTCCCCCAGTTCAGGTACCATGGTGTGGTGGAGTAGTTCTCACAGTACAGGTACCATGGTGTGGTGGAGTAGTTCTGGAAGTACAGATACCATGGTGTAATGCAGTCGTTCTGGCAGTACAGGTACCATGGTGTGGTGCAGTCGTTCTGGCAGTACAGGTACCATGGTGTGGTGCAGTCGTTCCCCCAGTTCAGGTACCATGGTGTGGTGGAGTAGTTCTCACAGTACAGGTACCATGGTGTGGTGGAGTAGTTCTGGAAGTACAGATACCATGGTGTAGTGCAGTAGTTCTGGAAGTACAGATACCATGGTGTGGTGCAGTCGTTCCCCCAGTTCAGGTACCATGGTGTGGTGGAGTAGTTCTCACAGTACAGGTACCATGGTGTGGTGGAGTAGTTCTGGAAGTACAGATACCATGGTGTAGTGCAGTAGTTCTGGAAGTACAGGTACCATGGTGCAGTGCAGTAGTTCTGGTGTCACAGGTACCATGGTGTGATGCAGTAGTTCTGGCGATACAGGTATCATGGTGTGATGCAGTAGTTCTGGTGATACAGGTACCATGGTGTGGTGCAGTAGTTCTGGCAGTACAAGTACGTGATGATGGGGTCACTGGCCATGGTCACTGTCTACTTCACTTTACTTGTGCTCATTTACCTTCCCACCGTCCTCTGCCTCCATTCTTGTGTGACCCCTGCTATTGTAACCTCACGGGACATGGCATGACATATTACAGGAGGAAGGACCAGGTGCCACATCATCAGGGGGTGGCTGCAAGAACCAGCCAGCTCCTGAGGACCAAGAAACGGAGATGGTGGCATGTTACCTGGTGTGCAGCGATGGATCATAACAGATCAATGCTCGAGTCACTGGGTGTGTGAGAAGGTTTCTTGAGCATATCTGGAGTATAAATAGTAAGAAGGGGTTAAAAAACTATTTCACACAAGGGGTGAAGTTCCACTTCAATGAAAAGAAAAGAACACAGCAATGCGAGAAGTGTATCATCATTTTATTGTCCAATCATCTCACACTATTGACAAAAATCAGAAAACTTTATTATAACACCACAAAATAAAAGGAACATACATACTGAAAAAAAGGCTGTTCATGTGTAAAAATAAATACAAGATCAGAGAAAAGAATGTACCTGTGTAAAAAGGTTTAGAACACTGGTCACTGTCATTAGTCCAGATGCTACTAAACTATAGAGCCTCCAGGAAAATGGCGCCGACTGCTAAATGCAAGACATCATGACATCACTTATACATTAAAAACTTTGATACTGGGCAAACTGGACATGATGAATAATAACTAACCCACACATTCATATCAGGAAATGGAGATAGAAAGTGACAAAACTCATCAGAAAGATATCTATTGACAGACAAAGCCAAAATCAATCATGTATGTGATCACTTGTTCTGAAATGGTGAACCTTCAGTCTGTTACATTCAACCACGACACATTTTAAGGCTGAAGAAAAAGGTTACGTAACGTACTGTGCCGATAGCTTAAAGTGCAACATTTTATTATAATGTGTTATTGCAACAAAGATGACAGGGAAAGGGGGCCGGGAACTAAACTGATCATATTGGTGTTATTTGAGTGGGGCCATTAAGTCCCCATTTATATCTGCGATCACATGATTCCCTCTGTGAGACACTGTACAATACAATGACAGCTGCCACCACCGCAACTGTTCACATGTAATCACAGAGGCTGCGATAACCTGCGGATGAATGCGCCCGCATGCAAACAGTTTTGCGTTTTAGGTGCGGTGGTGTGCAGGAAATCATAGCCGGTGCACTTACATGTGAACAGCTGCGGATGGTGGCTGCTGCCACTGTATCATAGCGCATCCCGCCTGCAGCAGCTCACGAGCATCAAGGAGGAATTCATGAGACTCATGCGATCGGCCCCATTTGCAGGTGTGAATGGGGCTTAAAGCATAACCGATGGCAAACTTTTTTAGATTTCGATAGAGTGGTGATGGGTTAGAACCCCTGTCATGGGTTGGAAGGGAGGACTGGGATTTCGGCTTTAATTACTCTCCATGGTAACAACAGAAGCCCTTACCTGCATTACATCTGTATATAAAGCTATAAAGGGTGGCAGTTCCGACTATTGCTTGTATAATGCCAAGTTAACCGTGAATTCACTCTTCAGTTTTCATGAGGTGCAAATTATGATGGTGAAATTAAGACTTCAGTGTGCAGAACATAATGAAATGATTATGTGAGGGCATGACAATAATGTTCTTTGATTGACAAACAACGAGAACTACAAATCCCCAATAACTAACCGTTTTGTTCTTAAAATAAAATACATATACACATGTCTATTATTTTCATTCAACCCATGGGTGGAAGGGTGCCAACAGTGGTATCCACTGTGCAAATTTAAATTTGTACTGTGCTTACCTTACTTGAAGCCCCTCTTACCTGGGCGGCATGTGTTCCGATCACCAGAGGGTCTGTGCACAGATCTCCTGCTAATCAGAGCAGTACGGAACAGATGTCATTCTGGTGACATCTGTGCGTTTAGGTTTTTTTCTTCCATCTTGCTTAGGTCCACCTGAAAAACTGGCAGGTGGATCTAAACAACAACAACAACAACAACAACAACAAATACCTAAAAAGAAATGCAATGAAACCCAAGGATGAAATGTTGGCGCTTTCATTCTTACGTCTACAATATAACAACAGTTGAAGGCTAACTGAACAGTAGAACGCAGGAATCACCAGCACTCCGTAAATATAGTTCAAGTAATGAATGTCCATTTATTCGGACCAGTCGTCACAAACTAAATACCAACGTTTCGGGGGCCGCAAGGGTCCCTTCATCAGGGCAATAATGCAACACTGTGCGGCCCCGAAACGTTGGTATTTCGCTTGCGACGACTGGTCCGAATAAATGGACATTCATTACTGGCGATTCCTGCTTTCTACTGTTGATGTGCACGGCGTCATCCGTGATTATCACTGCGAGCACCACCATTGCACTTTGGGCCGGGAACGCTGTAAGGAGTGCAGAGGGACCTACCGCTTTCTAGGCTAACTGAACAAAACACAGCCGACAGAAATATCTTGGACTCAAATCAACTTTCTGATAAACACAATGACATTTTCATTTAAATGCCAAAAAACACATAGAATTCAAGATTTAATGTTCTCTATTCAAAATCTTAAGGTTATATCTCCAGCAATATAAAAAAACAAACAAACACAGTCTTGGTCATGGACATAAAAACAACGGTGATAAAATAAAGGACAATTTATTTAAATATATGTCAAACTGGTGAAACTGCATTCATAAAGCTCAAATCAACTATGCTTGTACAATGAGAAACGTGGGCCATCACCCTTCTGAAAGTGCTACCGGTAGTTACTTGGCAGCTTCTGCCTTCAATTGTTCAAAGTCAAAGACCGGGAACACCCCTCCAGCAAGGGATGTTAGCGTTCCAGATGCACTCACTCGCCATGATTCAGGGACACAAGAACTACTGAAGCCACTGGTTCAGCTCAGATGCCAAGCAACTAGCTGAGGTGCATCAACTCCACATAGAAATTAAAGGGGATCTCTCTCCCTCATCACACATGTCTGATGGAGAACAGTGCAGGTTCTGCCATGTGGAATTTTCAAGGTTCCTAAATCATTCCTCTGATCACATGGTCATGTGATTTACA